TGAGCAGGCTGGCCCAAGGGATTAACCAACACACTGGCTCCCTCCAAATGTTTGCAACCCAATAATTAAGAGTAGAAACAAAATGTGTAGAAAAGATAAACATTGATGGAAGATAATTGTGTTGAATGTCCCTCTACACTGATGGAAACGTTATCTGAAGCTGTGAATGTGGGCTTAGGGTTCAGTTAAAGGAAGCAGGACTTTGGAGGCATGCCCTCAGGGCTGTATCTGGCCCCGGCTCCTTGAACTTCTTTTTCCATTTCCTGACTTCTATAACATAACTCAAGGACATTTTGTATGTCTTCATATCTCCAAACGCTGTTATATAAATAGGATCTAAACCACTTCTTGATTTAGAGTACTCATTCCTTGTATGTCTTTTATCTAAATATGAAGTGTATCTTAATAAACTTCCACTTACATTTCTGTTATTTGACTCTCTTTTGTTGCAAAGCTCTGAGATCATCTCTCAGAAAAAGGGAAAGATGATTCTTTTTCTGTTGTACAATGCAACAGAAATATGTATAAGTATATCATATATGTATATCATATATGACTCGTCAGATAGGGGCTGTTCAGTATAATGAGAATCAGACATAAGGAGCTAAGTTAAAAGGTAAAAATGAGCCTTTTAGGGTGAGCTAGAAGGCAATTATAAATTATAACATTTTAATAAAACATGGATAGGCAGAGAAGGGAAAATTGGAGGGAGGGAATCTGTAAAAAGTTGAGAGCGAGGGCTGACACGTATAATCCAGCAATTGCATGCTAAAGCCAGAGAATCACTATGAATTTAAGGCCAACTCATACCTTGAAAAGTACCAGGCAGGTCTCAGAAAGAAAAAGAGAGAGGTATGGGCAGAGGGAGATGGTGGGAGAGAGAGGAAAGTGAAGAAAGAAAAAGACCACTAAAAAGGAAAACAAACTTGCACACATGCTAAGGCTGTGATGCACACTCATCCTGGTTCTTACAAACTGCATGGGGATGTCAGGCTGATTACTCTAGAACTAGCTTCGTTTTGGACCCAATATGTCAATATCCAAGTGTACCCAGTTACCTTTTTTATTGGTTTTTGATGAAAATGGTGTTTTGCTAAAGATGGTAATTTGCCAACACTGAAGAAATAGTTTTCTTAAAAACATGTTTTTGTCTTAATCCATGGGTCCATAAGACAACATGTCAAAGATGATTGAATAGTTTTATAACCCAGGACTTCTAGAGAGGTGCAAAAGTAACTTGGTCATCTAAAGCCAGTTGCTGTAAAACATTAAAACTCTCAGGTACTAATCAGAACCCTCCAGGTAAGTCAGAGTGACTGTTTAAATCCTTACTCCCAAAGGGAAAGAAAATCTCACTCATCACATAAGTCACACAGTAAACACTGTCCTTGGGAACGTGCCAGGCACCAGAGAAATACAAGTTTTCCTCTTTTGTGACTTATTAGAGATATAGCATTTAGGGCATGACCAACCCTTCTCTCCAAATTCCATTTTCCTTAACCTCTGATCTGGCATTTTAATGACAGTTAAAGCTAGTTAAAGGACTAGAGGCATGGCTGAGTGGTGAAGGCTAGTCTTCTGAGGATCTGAGTTTGGGTTCCAGCATCCTACCTATAGTTCTAGCACCAAGGGATCCTATGCCTTCTTGTGGTTTTTGAAGCATGCACATGTATACCACACAAAAACACACTAAAATATTTTTTTTAAAAAAAAATTTTCCTTTTGGAAAGATAGCTTCAGAAATAGTGGATGTCATTCACTCATGACACACGAGTACCCTTCGAGCCATAAACTCTCAGAAGTTGGTCAAGCAGGATTCATGGTGATAGTTTTCTTCTCCTTTGGCTTGCCTTGCCTATACTTGTTCTCTGAAGTTGGTGACTTGGGAGTGGTGTCTTCTTTCCTGTTGCATGCAATGTGCATCTTTTGGATATCACCGGTGATGAACCATTCTTCTGTGAATTCAGCTAGCCCTTCTCTTTTCGTTAGCCATCACTCCCCTACATCATACAGACACAAGTCTAGCTCTTGTGCCCATCACTCATTGTGACCAAGTATGATTTGGAAGAAGCGTTCTTCAATCCTGTCAGCCCTAGATAGCTAACTTTTAAAGCTGGGTCTACAGAAACTGTGCTCAATGCTGAGTATAGAGAGCCTGTTACACACTAACTACTTAGTTTGTCACTGTCGTGAATTATAACAGTGGCTCATGGACATGGGCTCCTCTGCATACAGTCTTTTATTTGCAGATGGTTTTGGATCCTTCCTCTATCACACACCCTTTTATTCAGCTGATACTTGATCTTCTTTTGCATTTCCTCCAAGGTCCAAAGTTGTCTCTGTCTCTGTCTCTGTCTCTGTCCCTGTCTCAGTCCCTCCCCCCTCCCTCCCTCCCTCCCTCCCTCCTTCCTTGGCTTGCTTCCTTTCTCCTTGGATATGCTAGGGTTCCAATTTCAAAGCACACAATGGTGAAAGTATCAACAAATCTGATTTTATTCACTGTTTTATATCTAGAGGATCCATAATTTGATTTCTAGACTAAATAACTGACTATTTTCTAGTCTCACCAGAAGTCAGGAAACACACCCATCCAATGTTTCAGCCACACTAAGAGAATTATAATCAACTGGAAGAAGCCCCAGTGTTTCTGTGGCTCTTGACCCTTTAGCCATTTGTGTGAACACCTAATTCTCAAGGTTAAAGATGCTCTTAAAAGCAGATTCCTGGTTGGATAACAGATACTCTACCCTAAGGAGGTGAAGTATAGCTCTCCACTCTTTAATATAGTTGCTTATAATGGAGTCCATGCAAGAAATACTGTTATGAATGGCTTGATGAGCTGGGCACTGGTGGTGCATACCTTTAATCACAGCACTCAGGAGCCAGAGGCAGGAGGATCCCCAGGCTAGTCTCGTCTACAGAGCAAGTTCCAGGACAGCCAGAACTACACAGAGAAATCCTGTCTCGAAAAAAACAAAACAAAACAAAACAACAAATAAAAGGAGGCCTGATGAAAAGCTTCCTTTATAGTAGAGAAACATAACAAATGCCATTCAGCTGAAGAGATTAACATCAATTGTTGGAGAAAATACTTTATCTCAATCAGAGACTTCTACCATGCTGTTGATCTTTCAGTTCCCACATAAAAAACACACAACCTTTATATTTATAATAAGCCTTAATCAGCACTAGGGCTGGGCAGATATCTACCCTCTATGATATTGCAATCTATTTCCCCTTCAGTAACCCCATCGTATAACTTGCCATGTTCTATCTGGACAACTCTTAACTGCAGATATTGGCTATTGGCATCTTTATTTAAGTAATAGTTTTAAATTAAGGAACAGGGTTACATTGTATGTGCAGAATCTCTCATCCTGGAGGGCAACCGGGTCTTGGGGCCCAGTATTTAGCATTACAGTACATAGCAACAAACAGAAGTGTTAAGTCATCCTGATATTAAGCAAGAAGGACATGTTACCTAGCTTTCCTTCTCAAATATAACCACAATTTAATCCGAGGAAATAAAAAATATCAGACATTACTCAGCTATTAAAAACAATGAATTCAAGAAATTCTTGTGTAAATGGATGGAACTAGAAAAAATCATCCTGAGTGAGGTAACCCAATAACAAGAGAACATACATGATATGCACTCACTGATAATTCGATATTAGCCCAGAAGCTTGAAATACTCAAGATTCAACTCACAGACCACATGAAGCTCATGAAGAAAGAAGACAAAGTGTGGGTGCTTCAGTCCTTCTTAGAAGGAGTAATAAAATATTCAAGGGAGCAAATAGGGAGACAAAGTGTGGGACAGAAACTGAAGGAGGGGCCGTCTGGAGACCATCCCACCTGGGTATCCATCCCATGTGCAGTCACGAAAGGTAGACAGACGCTGATGTGGATGTCAGGAAGTGCATGCTGACAGGAGCCTAATATAGCTGTCTCCTTAGAGGTCTGCCAGAGTCTGACATATTCAGAGGCAGACGCTCAAGGCTAACCATTGAACTGATCAAGGGTTCCCAATGGAGGAGTGAGAGAGAAGACTGAAGGAGCTGAAAGTGTCTGTGGCCCCATGGGGAGAGCAACAATACCAACCAAGCAGAGCTCCCAGGGTCTAAACGACCAGTTTGGGAGCACATAGGGAGGGACCCATGGCTCCAGCTGTATATGTAGGGGAGGATGGCCTTGTCGGGCATTGGTGGGAGAGGAGATACTTGGTCCTGTGAAGGCTGGATACCGAGTGTGGGGGAATTCGAGGGTGGGGAGGTGGGAGTGGGAGGGTGGAGGCACATCCTCATAGAAGCAGGGGGAGGGGGATTGGATAGGGGTTTTCTGGGCAGGGGGGAAATGGGGTAAGGGGATAACATCTGAAATGTAAATAAAATATTCAATAAAAAACAAAAAAGAAAAAAAAGACATCAGGCAAATCTCAATTGAGGGATATGTTACTAGTCCTCTGAGCTATTGAGATCTTTTAAAACAGTCTCTTAGACTGAAGATCCAAAAGGATCTTCAGATGACAGTACCAACCCTGTCAAGCGACGCAGGGCGAGGGCTTCTGCAGCAAAGGGGACAATAAGCAGTGAAGGAAAGGGTTCATTTCAGCTCACAAACAGATAGTCTATTATGATGGGAAGTCAAACGTGAACTCAAAGCAGGAATCCGGAAGCAGGAACTGAAGGCCACAGAGGAATGTTGCTTACCAGCTTGCTCCCCATGATTTGCTCAGCCTGCTTTTATATACAACCCAGAACTAAATGTATGGGAATGGTCCTGCCTGCCCACAGTAGGCTGGTTCCTCTGACATTAGTCGTTAACTAAGAAGGTGACCCGCAAGCTTGCCTTCAGGTCAATCTACTGTAGGTGTTTTTCTCAGACGACCCTTGTTTCTGTCAAGTTGACAAAAAACAACAAAAACAAACCAAAACCAACCAACGAACCAACCAACCAACCAACCAACCAACAAAACAACTCACCATCACAGGCATGAATCAAGGAAATGCTTATAAAGGATGGTCTTCAGGTAATAGTAATGCGTCAATATTAGTTCATCAATTGTGATAAACGTACAACAGTGTTGAAAGTCATAGCAGAGACTGGGTATAGGACAGAGAGGAATGCTTTCTTCTTTATTTTTCCTGTAAATCAAAAAAGTATTCTCAATTAAAAAGTTTAAGTTATGATTCAGGGGGTGATTGGGGTAAAGGGTTCTAGCTTTATAAATCACCAGCACAGTGTCCTATGGATTCTGATGCAGATAGGCCATAGGCTTTGCTCAGAGGTATTTTGGCTACTGTGAAAATTCTCATCCTAGGCAATGAATTATAATATGGCCTCAGGGGGTCAATAGTTTCTTTTAGCTGATTTAGTAGTAGCCTGAACACTGGAATTTGTTAAAGTCTTTGGGGGTAATTTAGTTGTAACTGTGTTTAAAACTTACTATACCTGTGAATTCTAATGTGATAGTCTATCCAAACTGAAATTTAATACAAATTAAATGAAATGAAGTTCAGGGGGAATGTCCCAATGCATGTTGTACAAGCATCAGGACTGGAAGTTTGATCCCCAACATCCACATAAAAACCTGGCAAACATGCAGTACCTGGAGCTGACAGGCTAGCTAGGGGAGCTGAATCAGCAAGCACTGGATTCAAGTGGGAGATCCTTTCTAGTAAATCATATGGAGACAATCAAGGAATATAAACACTGTCACCCTCTGGCTTTCACAGACCTACATATGCACAAGCATGTGCCCTTGCACATGTAAATATGCATACACAAAAGCATGCACACCCCACATACATACCAAAGCAAAGAGGAAATGAAACAGAAACGTCAACTCCACACATTTGTGTGGTCAATAGTGGCGTGTGTCTAGTGGCTACTGCATCAGGCGTTGCTGATTCTGGGCATTCTCACCACTACCAGTGCTAACTAAGCAGTACCATGCTAAGTCAGCCCTGGACTGGGTCCCAGTGAGGACTAAAATGGTCTCCAGTTCTCAAGGGCTGTACGATAAATCATCACTAAATTGCATTACCAAGACATTCTGAGATGTCTGTGGAGCAATACAACTGGAGATGACTCTTGAATGAGTGCTTATAGCTTGGATTTACTTTATAGTTTCCCTGAACTGCAACCAAGTAGCCAGATGTGCTCTCTCTAATCAGTCCCTAATACTCTCACTCATGGCTGCCAACCCCGGGAGTTATCTAAGCACTCCATGGAACTCTGCTTGCATACATACACACACTCATCCAGTGGGGCATTCTCTCATGGAAAAGACTTGAGTTGGATATAAAATCACAAACTCACACAGAGAGACCATTAATTACTTGCTCAGAAATTGAGTAAATCCTCCTTGGTTACTTCAGATTGCTTTTTTTTTAAATTCTTAAACAAACAAACAAATGAACACCTAAACATCAAGGCCTATTTTCTTATTCATGTTTTAATATTCTGATTACTGAAAAATATAACCACCATAATCAAAAAAGTTATAAGATTATCAAAACCCCTTTCTTGTTTTTTAAAGGAATTGGCAAATCACAAAGTGACCAAGACAGCACTCCAACACTAGTGAAACAAGACTTCAACCCAGGTATCCATGCCAGGAACTAAAGTAAAAAACAAAATAAAAACCAAAGCAAAAACATGGAATTTTGCTATATATGATGCCTGTGATAAGAACACATTGGATTAATAATTTTAAATGTTCTGCTCTGTCTCATGCTATGCAGTTTCTGTATTTGAGCAATCAGACAATGTATTTCTTAATTAATAGAAACCAGGTACAGAGTAGAAGACTCTTGAGCAACGCAAAGAAACCACATCATTGTTTAGCAACTATTAGACTTTTTTAAGAGTCAACAGTGTAATTTCTTGAAGACAACTATGCATGCCTGCAGATGGACACCATAAACCAAGTATATGACACGTGGTCGCATGTGTGGACAGCTGCTGCATTCACCCTGAGGTTTCCCTAATATGTGAACAGTTCAGAAGCACTCACGGAATCCATCAAAAATCTCTACCATGAATTGAATCAGAACCTTGGCTTGTAGGAGGGAAGTACAGAAATGTAAAGTCACTGACTGTCCATCAAAGTCAAAGAGCTGATGTCTTTGAAGAATGACGGGGTCACCTGATCTCTGTCTCTATCCAGTGGGCTCATAGGCATAGAGGAGGATGAGCAGGCTTCATTTCAACATTTCAAAATTTTTTACAATTTTTTTTATGACAGAGTGACAGTTCATCTCTGTGGCCAAAAGATGGTCCTTAATCATGCTATCAAGGGTCAGTGATAAATCAGCAACAAGTGGAATGTACCTAAGGGTTAAAGCAGTAACAGTGATTCTGGCTTCTAAGCCTCTTTGGTCAACACAGGCTGGTTAACCATCACTACATACTTCAACTCCTGGTTTCATTAATATTACACACAGACTCAATGTATAAGTACAATGTAGCTTCCACAAAATGAGCTCTCCTTTGCATATTCCTGGGCGACTGAAGCATCTTTTGTTATAGGCTACTTTTGCAACAGTGTTGCTTTAAAATCCCAGCTAGTCAGAGGCAGGCTCTTCCTCGTCTCAATTCCTTAATTAATGACCCAAAAGGCTAGCCTGACAGGGGCTGGCATCTTCTGAGGAATGTGCAAACCATGCCTGCCGTCTGTCCCATGGCACTAGCCCAGTGTCTGGGCATTTGAGCAGTTGTTCTGAGGGCTTAGGATGTTTATCCCCTAAGCAGCTGAGCTGCCTCCTGTTTCGAGAGCAGAGCAGAGGAACGCAGTGGAAGAGACCCAGGCCTCTGGCCACCCAGATTAGAGAGTTTTGTGCTGAGGTCCCTATATGGTTGTGTTAGAGTGAACGGCCAGCTTCAGCCTGTCTTTGCTCCTTGTTTGGGAAGCTAGTGGGAGGGGATCAGAGCAGGGGGCTATATAACCCTTCAGCGTTCAGCCTCCCCAGACACCACCCACCCAGAGTGGAGAAGCCCAGTCAGTCGCCGTCAGGGTAAGTGGCTCCAGCCCAGGGATGTGACTTATTCCCAGGCTCTTTTATCATCCAATGTAACCAGACTTCGTCTGTGGGAATATGAATGACTCACGTGTTTTGAATTTTTGAATAAAGATTTATACCGTTAAAATGATTGTAGCTTTTTAGCTTGCATGATTTTTGCATCCAAATGGGGCTAAAATGAAGCTTGGCTTATTGGAAAAGGAGATGGAGAGGAAATTAAAAGCTTGTTCATGCAAGTCATCTGTAAAATCTGTTTACACTAAACTAACTGCTCTGAGCCCGCAGCCTACTATACATAGGGGTGGAGTCTGGCTATATGGTAAATCATACGTTTGTTTCTACTTAGGCGTTGGAAACTTTTGGATTTGTAGGTGGTTCAGATTTAGTCTGAGGACTTTACATCTGACTGTGTTTACTGCAGCTGAGGTACCTGGAAGTGACTGTCAGGAGTGAACTGGGGCAGTCGCCTGCTCTCTGATGTTGACTGAATGGATGCACTGCTTTTGGTTTTCCAGGGCTCTAACAGCTGGTGTCCTATGTTGGAATGGGTATCTTGTGAAGGTGTCGGTCCCCTCACTATTCAGACCTATGACACTGGTCATCTGCAGCATAGCATAGCCTCTCTACTTTCTGCAAAGAAAGGAGGAAGTGTCTCTCATCCAGAGGAGATCTGATTTACATTTCTCTGCTTTGAGTGTTCCTCGGCCCCCCCTAAAGCCCAGTCTCTGTGGAGCCAGCCATGCCACCTCAAGTTGTAACTCAGGGCTGGGTAGCTTCAGCAGAGAATGGAGTTTTCTTGACAAGATTTTCCTCCCGTTTTGTGATTCATGACTAAATATGGTTTGTGTTTTGAGACTCACAAGCTAGGAAGGGTAGTGTCCTTTCCTCCTCCCCGCCCACTCCCCCCCCCCAACAATTCATTTTTGGCACAAGATGAGCTCCACTGTGCTGCACCAAACTCCCCAGCCCCGGTGCAGTTCCAAAAGCGGACGCTGGAGCCCAGGGTGTTTTACCTAATTAGGAAATGCTCCCCGCTTCAAACTGAGCTGCCCATTCAGGTTAGCTAAGAGATGCAAACCACAGCGGCAGCTTCCTCTGGAAACACGCAGACATCTTCACTAGTGGCAACGCTCCTTTCAAAGCTTATAAAGACACATTTTCTGGATATTTTTGATGAAATAGAAATATGTCTCTTTATCGAATTTGACAGTATTTTTTTTCTGCATTTTTTTTTAACCAGGTAGCTTATTTTTCTGAATATACTAAGGCACAACCTTGAGTCATCCTGCCCAACAAAAGGTTTATGTGGGTGATCCTTCCCCATTTTCAGAGGGCAGCCTAATTCCAAGTGGCTTATATGCTAAGTGTGGAAAACAGACTCAGTGTATGCACAGACTCTCTGCTGGTCCTTTGCTGCTTGCTGCCTCTGGCAGTCACTAGGCCTTTGCGCCTCCTTGTGCTTTGAAACTATCTTCGCAGTCAATATCGTTCACTGGAAAGGAAGCTAAATATAATTCAGTGTCTGAAAGGAAAGGCATAGTGGAGAGAGGAAAGAGCAAACCACCGACGAATCTTGCTTTTTCCATTTCTGTGAGGGAAACTCACACATTGAAGATTTTATTCTGATCTTGGGGGCAGGGTTGAAAGGAAACCAAGATCACAAACAGATAATAGCCACAAACAGAAAGTAGTCACATGATGATATTCATGAGGGATGCTTGTACAACCCTCTGGGTGTCCTTTGACGCTGTCAAAAATCCAAGCTTACATGTCAATTACTTAAAATGTTGTTTTAAACCAAGGAGTGTATGCTCAGTTAATCAAGTGTAGAAGAAGATACATCATAAAAAAAAAATCTACAAAACCAGATACTTGACACTTCAAAAGAACCCCAGTAAATATCTCGGAGAGAATAAGTAAGCTAAGGAGGGGAAAAAACCCTCACATTTTATTATGGTCATATTATGTTTCTTTCTGTAACTTATCAATCTTAAATAAGAATAGCTGTTAGCATCCTGTTAGATTTTCAGCTTAACGGTGACTGTAATTAATGAAGAAATGTAACTCCTAAAATATTAAACACCCTATTCGAAAATTTCGATCCAAGTTTCTATATTAGA